CATAATCTAAGAAGGGTTGCCATAAGGAGACAAATTTAGAAATAGTATTATCTCTTATTAATGCTGTTAACTTCGCCATTTTTTTGACTGATATTTTTTTCACGTAAAAATGACATAATCTATCAAGCAGCTTTAAAAGCATAATACCCATACATAAATATGCATATTACATCATAGGACTCCTATTTTGGCTAATAATCTGGTTGGAAACAAACTCATTGCAGGTCTTAATCAACTTATTAATTACCTCAGTTTCTCATATAATGTTAATTTTTCATATAGGCCTCTTAGAGTTAAGGTACTGTTCTCAGAAGCTATAATATTTAATTAAAGAAACATTCCTACTGACACTAGCACAGAAAGATTTTTAATTCTGCAAGTATTTGTTTAAGGCAATCAAGATTTTAAATTCTTCTGTAGTAGTTCCACCCTGGTGGTTTACCAAGCTTTTCATTTAAAAAGCACTCAGCTGATTGAAGCAGGACAATGTTTCTCAAACATTGCCATCTTGTGGCATTTTCCAAATGTCACAATGCTTTAACCTAGTTAAATAATAATCTTTGATCTCTAGGCTGCAATTTGCCATTATAGAGCCATAGATTTTTTTAAAATTCTTTAAATTTAAAATTCTTATTTCATGTATTTGAAATATGAATGCAATATAAATAAATGTAAAATTCAGCTCACCCTTTTGTGGGGCATGTTCCTCTGCAATTAGAGGCACACAGACTAAAAAACAGACCATACTACAGAAAAGCACTTTATTAAGCTGTGTCCCTTATACATGGTGGCTGCCAATTCATACATGCTCCTTTAAAACAGCGCCTAATACACAATGTATGATGTGGGTGGCAAAAAGTAACTTGAAAGGCATCATAACCCTCATATGATGAAACTCTAAGATTCCATGAAATAAAGCACTTTCTAACAGGCATTAATTTAAATTCAACACACAGCAAGTTTATGAGTAAATTTCCATCAGAAATAATGTCAAGTTATTTTACAGTTTAAATTCCATCTTTCCAAGCACAGCCCTTCTGCCCGGGAAGATCTTCCATATTTATGGAGTATTTAGAATTCCAGTCTCGCTCAAAGAGAGACTTCAGTTGCTCCTGTATTATTAGATTTCTCTTTGGAGAATCTGTTGACTGTTTTGCAATCAGTCCTACACCTGCAGTGATGGTGAAGTATTCTTCAGACCAGTTAGAAGTTCCTAGAAACCATATAAAATAAGAGTACAATATTATAGTATGCATTTACATAGCCACATTTACAGTCCACAGCTCTTTTATTTTAAAAATGGTCTCATTTATCAAAGTCCTTTCATATCTTTCTGTTGGGAACTCAGAGTATATATAGGAATCTCTCCCAGTGTGCCTTCCATAATTTTATTGCCTGTGAGGGCTGTTGTGCTGAGAGTAACTGACCATAGTCACTCAGAAAGTTCCATAGGCAGGTGGGAACTTGAACCTAGATTTTCTGATCCACATCCAACGGCTTAACCACTACACCATATCAGCCTGTTACAATGATCAATAAGTGGTTTTGGCTAAGTGAAATGAGCATTCTAAGCAGATGCCACTTGAAGCACAACTGTAGAGTTCAGCAGTGAGGATAAAGGAGAAATGTGTAATTATATGATAAAGTCTTTGATTGAAGAAAACTCCATATCAGCATACAGGGGCAAGAACAACACAAAGGAATCCTAAGAAAAATAATTCTCAAGGCAAGATCAAAGATATCTACCCAGTCCATTTACCAGATATTGAGCTGAAATAGGTCTTTTAGAAGAACATAACAAGGGAAACGTGTCAAGCATAAACCCATCTGATATACAGAAGATGCCTGAAGAAGTACCGCACAGAATAAGTTAAGAGCTATTCTGTCTCATCCCAGAGTACAGAACATAAGCAGTGTCTGGGGAGAGGGCTCAAAAAAGTCAAGATGGCAATCACAGCCATGTGATCAAAGCCCCTAATAAAGAAATAATGGAATAATTGTCTTACGTTTTAGGGAGGCACATTTTAGTTGAACACTGAAGACAGCAAGAGCAATTTAACAATTTCAGAGTAGAAACTTTTACTTTCTTACTTACTGATTTATATTTATTCTTGTTTATTTTGTTTTTTTTTATGTTACACACATACATATGTGATATAGATATACATACACACATACACACATTTACACAAGCCTCCCTGGAGTCAAATTTGTTACTCCTTTTTTGTGCTTTGCATAAAGTAGTTTCCCCCCAAAGTTAAATTGTAATTAAAACTATATTAAATTGATTAAATACAGTTCATACAATTATGCCCCATATAGCCCATAATTTCTTCCTTCTGGCACACTAAAAATTGCTGGCACATTTTGAAGAGACTTTGGCAGCCATTCACCAGACTTTCATAGGCCACACTCCAACTAGAGGCTTCAGGTTGTGGACCTCTGACCAGAGGATTCACTCATAGGAATCCCAGTTGGAAAAGCATCTGATTCAGTACCAGGAAATCTGTGGGGATGAAAAATCAAGACAGCGCATGTACAGTTTCCTTCTTCCCAATTTAAAAACTTACCAATGTAGGCTGTCTTATCAGTCACCATGTACTTGTGATTCAGTCGAGCAAATGGTATATTTGAGTAATTTCCAATCGGAACAATGAAGATTTTCTAATAAGATGTAAACACAAAAAATAGCTCAAATGATTGAGAAATTAAACCCAGATTGATTTCAGGGGATTTCATAAAGTGTGCATATTTTCAAATCACAGAATACAGAAGACTAGCTTTGCAGAAGGCTACATTAGTCTGAGGGCATTTGGTCTGGATTTTTCTGTCAATACGTAGTATTTAATAGAATGCAAAGCATATGAACGAAGTGCTTCACTATGTGCCTCTCTTCAACTTGTTAAATCTTTTGCTTTACACAGATAGACAGCCGGGAACTGAGTTCAGTACAGCTACATGTGCCTTGCAAAGGATGTAGCTGCTTTACCAATTAAAAGAGAGAGGCTTTATTAATGTGAAATGCTTCATTCAAACCCTTTGCACAGTTCTATTTAATCATGCTTTCTTAGTCATCCATGCTGCATATAAGGCAAATCAGTATTATTAACTGAATCGTCGAAATGAAGTAAAGGTTATAAGAATTGCTTAGAAAACAACCTTTGTGGCTGGGGGGAGATTTGATCAAGGACTTTCAAATGAGTCGTCTGAAAGATAGAGAAACAGTGATGTTTCTCAATCTGCAGCACCAACATTAGTTGGCTCATTTAACTTTTGTGTGGGTGTGCCTTCAAGTCAGTGTTGGCTCCTGGCGGCTGCCTGGACAAGTCCCTGCGGTTTTCTTGGCAAGGTTTTCAGAAGTGGTCTGCCATTGCCTTTTTCCTAGGGCTGAGACAGCATGACTGGCCCAAGGTCACCCAGCTGGCTTTGTAAATAAAGTGGGACTAGAACTCAAGGTATCCCAGTTTTTTAGCCTGGTGCCTTAACCACTACACAAAATTGGCCCCATTTAACCATTTACCAACCATTTAACCATTTACCAACCATTTACAAGGATGGCAAAAGGCTAATCTATTTACCATGTTACTAAATATCATGCAGTAAAATGTTCATTTGTGTTGGCAAATACAAAGCAGAAAACAGTAACCCTACATCAGTTTAAAACAGAACCAATTCTACTTGATGTAGGTTTCTAAAATGGACATCACAAGTTTCAAAAAGATTCTAAGCATCTGCACTTAGGTTTCAGAAAAGTCTCTTAAATTCTCATATGTATTACATGCCCTTTTCTCAACAGTAAAGATATAATATTCAAACATCTAAAGAAAACCAATAGTCCAAAAGCGTTTTAATTTTACCACATCTATAGTAATGTTGATGTGAGGATCACTAAGGACACTTAGTGACTTCAAATAATGGAACATAGAAGAATCAGTATCGATCCAGCAGTTGATCAACAGCCGTATCTGTATATTACGACTGAGTGCCACACTTCTCAGAGCATTGTCAATGGGTGGCCAGTATCTGCAAAAGTAATATTGTGATTACACTTTCTATGCAGAATGATTACTTCCTTGGTGCTTCCTATGCCAGTTGGATCACAGAAGAGGAGCATCCCCAATTCAAAGCAGGATATTTAAAAAAAAGAAAAGAATTAAATTGTATTTACCACTTAGCTTTTACAAACTAACAGCATAATGTGCATCCAAGTCAGGGATCCTGCCATACATAAAGAGTGCTCCTATTGAGTCTCCCTAAGAATATTGCCAGGGAATACCTAATACCCTTAGAATTAGGGTAAATTGCTGCAACCTCCAAGAAATATATTCAGATCAGGCTAAGTAGTTAGAACTTCTTCCCCTGTATGGACTTTAAATAATTTTTTAGTATCCTGAATTTGCTATTTTATCTTTTTGAAATATCCTACAACATGTCTGTCCCAAAGGCTTTCTAGGAATTTTAAACAGCAGCTTCCAATCAATCTATACTAGTGTAGACCACAATTGCTGGCTTTGCTCATTGCTGCCATTGCCAGGTAAACCCAACATGATCCATCAAAATCAGAGTGAGATCCTTTAAAACTGGAGGGGTCCTGTTTTGAAAGACCACAGAGAGTGGCATGGTTGGATTTGGGCTTAATTGTTCCTGCGATGATAAACCTATCTTTGGAGTTTGCCACTTCAGGTGAGGCCTGACATGATCCAGAGATCCTCCCATTAAAAAATACTTCCACAAAAATATTTCCACACTGATACTAGTTTTACTTTCTCCATGACATGCTAGTTTTCTATGTATTCATTGTTTGTAGGAAGAAATAGCCAATCATTGTTTGTTCCCACTCCTAGTCAGCAGTAATACAAACAAATTGATGAGGGAGACCCAGTTTATTCAAATCGTCTGAGTGGCTATGTTCAGATTTAACCTGATACCTTGATGGGTGACTGAAGCGGCTGATAGGAAAATATTCCATAATAGAGACATATATAAATTTTTCTGCATCATAGATAACATCAAGAATGGCTACAAGATCAAAGGTGCGACCATCTGGGCAAAATGAAGAAGGTGAAGCCTAGAACAAAGAAGACATTTAATCACTATCACATATTTCTACCTCTAGATCTATTCAAGATACTTTCAGACAGAGGAATCCTAGCATTACCGGTCAAAAGGTATTACACACACACACACAAACACACACACATAAACACACATATTCTGTCTTTTGTTCCATAAGAGATAGGAAATGTTAGAAGAAGCAATGGGAGAAAATGAGAGGTCTGAAATGGGAGACAGTTTTTACCAGAATTCCCCATAACATTAAATGAATAAGCCAGAGCAACTGTGCAATAAAACATCATGGAGAAGCATATATTGCCTGCTGCAGAGCAGTTCCATAGTCCTATACACACTTTGTGTGTAAATGCCATGGAATTCAGTAGTATTAATTTTTAAATAAACAGGTTTAGGATTGGGCTGCAGATATACTACTTACAGAAAAATATGCTTTAGTCAAGGTTCCATTGACCTGCATTTCTAAAGGACTGTTCCTATTAATATTGGTAGAATAATTGTTTGGCCATGGAGATGGAATGGTGGCATTTGGTTCTCCAAGATCCCAATATGTTTTGAAGGTTTTCAAGAGATCGTTAGCCAAGCAGCTGCAATTACTGATCATAACTCCAACTTCTTTCATCTAAAGAACAGAAGAAGGTAGAGAACAATATTCTAAACCAAATTTGAGATAGTCTTATATTAGTTATCTTATTCTGTATGATGATATATCCCTGTTTGATATGATTAAGTTTGGCTTAAGATGATGGTGAGTCTCAAGAGCTTTATCCAACTTCTTGTATAAATTGTGGGTACATTCTAGGTTTCCCAGAATGCAGTAAGTGACTCCTCAAGGTAGAAAATTAGAAAACCTTTGATATTACACAGCAAAGAACAGCAATGGTTAGAAACAAAAACAGAGCACAAGCCCATTTTTGCCTCAGCTGAGAAAACTGAGCTTACTGTTTCTTTAAGGACAAGATAGTTAATTTTAATAGGATTTCTTCCTAGAACTTTTCAGGACAGATTAAATTGGCATGTTATATATTATCAAAACAATACTTTTTCCTTCAGTTCTAATCTAGGGAGAGAGATGGAGCAGGTCATATATGTTCATAATTGGTTTAATTAAATAATTAAAATTTAAAATTACTTAAAACTATTTTTCTGTGATCCCCTTCCAAAAGGTAGAAGAAAAGCAAGGTATAAATATATCAATAATCAATTAAACCAGTCAGTATATATTCTTGGGTATCATCAGTGTAGATGCAATATTGAAAACTAAGGTTAGTGATCAAGTCACCCAAAGGAAGTAAACAAAACTGAAGAGAACTCAGGGCTAGAACAAAATCTTGGGGAATACCAATAGTGAGGTAAAATCTAACAGAATTGTTAAAGGAAACAAAACAAAGCAAGAATGAGAAAACAGAAAAATTAGAACCAGGAGAAAGTTATACCAGTGATACCCAAAGACTGCAACTGTGACAAAAATATCTGATGCTCAAAAATATAAGACACAGCCAATAAAACTTGTACAGTTAACAGTGCCTAATATATGCATTTTATAGGCTGTTCTTTGTAATATAATACATTTCTGTAAGCTATTTTCACTATAGGTAGAGCAGATGATGAATGGCAGCAGACTTCATTTTCCTAGGTTCAAAAATTCACAAATATAGTGACCATAACCATGATACTAAAAAGTGTCTACTGTTTTGAAGAACAATTATGACAGGTGTAGACAAAATATTAAAGTGCAGAGATATCACATTGACAACACTGCATACCTTGTTAGGGCCACATATGATTGTGAAAGCTGGACGTTTCATATATGGTTGTTGAAAGCTAGACAAAGAAAAATGTATGACTTGGAATGTAGTGCTAGAGACAACTGATGGCAGCAAGAAGAACAAATCATTCATTTCTAGAGGAAGTAAAACCAGACTGCTTGTTGGAAGCACTAATAATTAAGCTAAAGCTTAAATATTGGGACATACAATGTGAAGTCAAGAAGAAGATCCTGATGTTTGTAAAAACCTAAGGCAAATAGAAGGAGTGGTGGCTACCATGAGTTTACAAGAAATTAAAGAAATAATCACTGACAGACGGTCCTGGTGACATTAGGTCTATCAGGTCATAAAGCGGCAGAGGTGACTGAACAACAATTTTCACTATGTTGTTTCTTATTGAAAAACAGCATTGAACATTTTTGAGAACTGTATATTTTAAAAGATAACATTTCAAGCCAGTTCACATACTGCAGAACAAGAACCAATTTCTTTACCATCCCTATTCAGATGTCTCACTTGAGTTAGTGACCGCCAATCTATATTGGCGCTGCCAAGAAAAATGTGCTTCCTGTCCACAATCCAGAATTTCGTGTGCAGAACACCATGGGTCAACTGTCCAAAGTTAATCCTTTTTATATGTGCTCCTTCAGAAAAGAACAAAGGTGTGGTCAAGCAACTGATTTAACATACATTCAAATTCTCGTACATGTTCATTGTCCTGAAAATCCCATGCAATGAAACAGTATAAATTTACCAAAGGTTTAAGGTATTAAGTAAAGCAGCAAGTGAGTGTGCCTGTTTCCCAGGAGTGGGGATAGCACAATATTTTTGAGTTATGAGCTCACAGGTTTGAGCATTGTATCACTATAACCTAACTAGATTAAAATATATTCAGATTCATAGAAGGTATGTAGTTATGCCTTTCTTCTTCTCTCTCTCCTCTCATACTAAAGAGTTATGTAACTTTTATCGGTCTAAGCTTCATGCTAGAGGCCTCAAGACCATCTCCCCTTAAACAGGATCTTATATAGCTTTAGATATTATATTAGCTACACCTGAATAGTCCCAATAAGGATGAAACTGATTATGTAGTGTCTACTATTGGTTTACTATAATATCCAGATTCAGATTGGCATTGTGGGAGAGCCATGTTAGTCTATGGTGGCAAAAAATCAGGAGTCTGGTAGTCCCTTTCCCGGCTAACACATTTTATTAAAAGACATAAGCTTTTGTGAGCTGCAGGTTATTTCATCAGATGCATACAGTGGATAGATTGATATAGGATTTAAACTGGGGTGAGGTGGGGGGAAGGAGGGGAAGTCAGGTTGGTTATGCAGATGCAGGTTACATGAGGGGCAGATTACAAGTACCTTATCAATTAACAATTGTAATGTGTTTCCAATAAAAGAGAATATGTGTAGCTCAGGGTTGAACTGTGGAGTCCTTGGAGTTCTCTGAGCTTGGTTGTTTTCTTGCAAACATTTCATAACGCGGCTAGGTCACATCTTCAGTGCTAGAATGGGATGGG